GACTAATAAAGGAGAACCCACTGAGACACGTGACATCTACATCCTGGTTACTGTGGTAGGACTCTAAAATGCTAGAACTTCTTTGACTCGTTTTTTTCCATTAAAAAAAATTCAAACAACTTTGAGGACCCAATCACCATGAAGGCTAAGAGAATACATAGTCAGTGTCAGTTATCAAAGAGAAGTAGAAGACTAGTAATAATAATTCAAATTATTTGTAATAATTTTAATAGTTGGAAACAAATCATTCAGATGTATGATCTCATTTGATGCTCAGAAGAAAACCTGAGTCATGGAGAGGTGGAGACATCTTTTCTCCAAAGTGGCTGAACCAGGACATGAACCTGGGTTTTCTGGATCCAAGTCCAAGGCCCCTCCCACTCTACTACTCTGTCACCATGGAATGGAAGACGTACTCCAATAAATGAACTTATCCTTTGGAATAGACTTTACCAGAGTGTGTTAGAATGCTGTAGGTGCCTCCTTGATGTTACCTCAAATCCCTGACAAGCAACTTGCAGACCCATCGTAGCAGCCTAGTATATACAAATGTGTTGATTGGTATACATACAGTACACAAAAGCTAAAATAAATTGTGACACAGCCAGTGGATTTTGGATATTCAAAAATCTTCATCAACATCATCCCTGAACAAAACTGTCATATATAAATTTCTCTTTGATACACGCAGCTTTTTCTTTCAATAATCACTTCCGCCCTTTTATCTCCTATTGTCTTATTCTATGTAAAATGACTGTACCCTTTCAGGTGCCTGAAGGTTTCCACTACTTTCTGCACTCAAGTCAAATACTTCTGCAAAAAAAAAAAAAACTTCTGAGACTTGTAAGCATTCTGTTCTTTTTCTCAGAACCCATGGTAATATCTGATGCCCGCATCTGCCAGAGTGATCAATGAAATGATCACACTAGGGCTACATTATCACCAACTGAGAGAATCACTCTTTCCAAGTGTTTCTGCTGGACATTTGTGCTCAAGTCACCCCTCCTGGGATTGGTAAGCACAACACATGAGCTTGAGCTCCACTTGGCTACAGACAAGAAACTTTCCAAGGGGAGAAACATGAAGACCTCTAGTTTTTTGGAAGTGGATCTGTTTCTTACTTATATCTGAAACACCTTTTGAGCTGATAACTCCTTGGAAAATAAAGGAAACCATACTGCATGCAAATGTAGGTTTTAATATCACACATCACACTTTAAAATTTAGGTCTCCGGATATGGAAGAAAGATTAGTGTGCATGGCCTGCACAAAGAAGTGGAGGGAATAATTATCTCCTGGCATTATCTATTCCAGATCCTATCCCAAAATGAATGTTCTGGTGAAATGTATTTTTTCACATTGGGATGAAACTTAGGATATAACTCTAAGTTAATTTTCTTTTCAAAGAAAATTTTATTAAAATAGATAAAGGCTTTGTTTCAAAGAGAGAGAATCAGAACTAATGCATTTTGCCCAGGTTTGAGCATTTCATTTGGCTTCTTTAAAAGCTTAATGTTTAAAGTGGCATTTTCAAGATACAATAATACTGACAAAGGAATATCTGTTAGGATGATGGAATAACACCATGATGAATCAACTGACAACGAGACAAATCACCCAAGTGGGGAAGGAGGCTTCCCTGTTGACATAGAATCAACATTTACCATGGTTTCAGAAACAGGTAATTGTGAATGGACATAGCTTGTGTTTTTATCTGAACTGAGGATTTTGAAAATTTATGTTTTGACGAGGTCTGACCCAAGTCTCTATGGCTCTCATAGATGGAATGCAATTGGCAACTCTGACTCACGACTTTGTTTATACACTTGTGCTTCAGCACATCAGAAAAGCTATTTTTTCCCTATAGTTTCTAAGAATGACTCTCAATTACAGAGTCTAAGTCTGAATCATTTCTGGTTCCCTTTTCTAACTTACATCCATCTTCCTTCTTGTATATATGCCCATTATGACATTTTTCAGAGCCCATCAGGGATATGGAATAGACATGAAATACTTTACTGACTTGAAAGGATGCAGGAAAAATTCCTTCCAGTAAGAAAAAATGTGCATATACATTTCTTTTCCCTTGCCAATGCATGGCAGCAAGGAAAACAGAGAAATGTGCTAATATTTAATAAGACTTCTAGAAAAGCCATAGCCTTTATCTCAACAGCCCATATTGGGCTCTTGCTTATATACTTGTGGTCAAATTTTGCCCTTTTGTCTTCTTATTAATCACCATTATTGTTATTTTCAATATCATTGTCATCATCATCACCATGTTTATTGTTATCATAGTCAGTTTGGTTTTTGGCATTTACAGGGAGCGTATCACTATTCCAGATAAAATCGCATTTCCTAATCACCTTCCATTTCTACCTACTCTATAAAATTTCTCATCGATACATTGCTAATCAACTGCAGTAAGTACTGTAGTCTTCCTAGTCTCTTTGCTGTTACAAGTTCCCTATTATCTCTTTCTTTTATTTCTTTCTCCTCAGCTCAGCTAAAATCATCTTTGCTAGCCAGCCACTATGACCACTGGTTCATCCCTCAAAAGTTCCCACCCCTTCCCAATATGTCATAATAACCTCTAATGGAATATAATCTGCAAAAAAAAAAAAAACCCTGAGTCAGTATGCTGTACACCTGAAACTATATATAATATTATATATATAAACTATATATATATATAATATTATATATATATAAATAAGGTACCTCCCTGCCCTCTCAGATGCGGTGCGGGGGTGAGTTGATAAAACATAAATACGCAAAAGAACTATATTAGACATAGAAGGTTTCATGGGAACACCAAGGAGGAAAAATCATTTTAGTCTAAAATAATGGGGAATGTTTTACACCTAGGAAAAGCCAAGATCCTCACAGTAAAGAGAATTGTGAGAGCTGTTAGGTAATTGATCTGATATAAATGGTCCATGTAAGTAAAAGTTATGAAAGAATATCAGGGTTCATTGAATCGGAGAGTTAAGGGAAGAGGGAGCCAAAAGTCAGTACAGTTCATTAACGTTAGAGTCTTAAATTATATCCACCCATTTCCCTTTTATAAGTCTTTAAAACATCCTGTACTCAGGTCTTTAGGACAGATCTCAAAAACATGGCCATGCTTTGCTATGCTTGATATTCTCCTCATTTATTTATTCTTTAGAATCATGAGAAATGTTATTTCCGAAGGGTGACATCCCCAGAAGAACCAGAAAAAAAAGCTGTGTGTGGAAATTATTGCTCATCCTATGTGGTCACTTAAAGTAGCATTGGCAACGTGGGTGTTTGTTTTATTACTCTTTGCACTTTTCTTCCCTTTAAAAAATTATTTCTAGAAAATAATGGATAATAGCTGCTATTAAACAAGATGCTCATAAACTTGAAACAATTTTCCATCTCTGGTCCTTCTCTATGAAGCTTTCCGTGAATAGCTTAATAGGAAAGCGTCTCTGCTCTTGTTGGAGTCCTGTAGTATTTTATCTGTACTTCCTAATGTTACTTAACCATTAACTACTTAACTATTTCTATCTAGTATTATATATTATTGTATAAGTATTCATATAACATCTACTCTGTCCAATGAAATTTTTGATGGTAGCATCCAAACCTGTTTCAACTCTCAAGTTTTCAAAGCATGCAGTAGTTAGTATCCTTTATGTAGTTCAGACTCAAAAGTTATTGAATGGCTCAGTGAATAAATGTACGAGTGAGCCGGCCCATTGAAAAAGCTGACTCTCGAATACTTACTCATAGGATTTTATTTCAAATATTGACTTCCATTGACCACAAAATTAATATGAAATTGGGCAAACATGAAAATTGTTTTCAGCAAAAGCAAGCTTTTGAACTAAGTTCTGTTGTCTCTTTTGGAAATACTCTATAAGTCAAAAACATCTGTTTGGTCAAAATTCTGACATGTTTCTTTATGAAATGTGCCCTTAGCTGGGTATATTCAGAGGTGCAGCATTTAAAGAAGAAAAGAATTTTGAATTTAGTTTTCATGCTCATATTTGCCAATAATAAAAATTAATCAAACCTCAAGGAAAGCAATCCAATTAAATAGCTAATAAGCAAAACCAAAGCGATGCATGAATTATGACATAATACCTAGAATACTATAGATTTATCCTTTTATAAAATATAAGCACTTCACAATGCATTATTTTAAGTTAAATTACAAGATAAAATGCATTTATTTAAAATATGTATCTAAAAATTAAAACATCAAAAACAATTCAATTAATAGGTTCTTTCTTATTTCAGTATTTTTCTGATTCAGAGTAAAAATAAATCAAATAGATAAAAGGTAATTTCTAAAAAGTAATTTCTATTAATTACATTTTTGTAATGTTAAACATACAAAAACACCAAACTTTTTGGTTTGTTTCTAATTGAACAAAGAAAGTATCCACCATCTTTGACATACGCACTTTACAATTCTATGATCTTCTTTGTTAACTTCAGATCAATAATTTCAAATAAAGAATTAGAATGTTTAAACAAGAGGAAACCAAAACTTTGTAATATATTCAGTTAGCGCCTTTTCTCACAAGGTTTAAAAATGAGAGAGGCCTGAAAGTGTATAAAAGGGCATGTTATATATTGAGATGTAAACTTCATTTTGGGAGTACGTATTTAAAACCCAAACCAAAGATTTTGGTGTAACGATTCATACAAATCAAGTGCATCATTTGTTCTTGTATTCATTTCCAGTCCCACTCCCACTTTAGATAACATAGGCAATGTGGCAATAATCTCTGACGTTAGTTTTCTTTGTGGAACATAACACAAATGAGGAAAGTTTTTGAAAGTGGCAAGCAACATGTAAAATTTAAGCTGTTAAATCAACTAGTTCCAAAGAATGCCAAAATGAAATGAATACTATGCTTGTTGTTTTCATTTTATAATAAAAAGCCCTGAAAAAATTTTTTCAGAGTATTCAAACATCTAGATTTCCCACAGGCTTAATTAAGGTAAGTTTCAGTGAAACCTACCTTTAAAATTTGGCCTGATTCTTGCGTCATATCCTGATGTCCTTCCCATTAATTTGTCCAAGAAATCTGAAGGAGATAGGGTCTGCGAAGGTTGTTTTCCAGACCTGGAGTCATGGTCTTTGCAGAAAGCTGCCCTAAACACATCATTAACTCTTTTAGCAACAATTACGTTCTTATCACCTGAGAACTAATGCTCACAGAATGTTTGACATCGTGTTTTGTAAATATATTTGATATGTTAAGAAGAAGAAAAGGAAAATTATGAACTCTTTGGTCAACTTCCTAACTTGTACATGGTCTAGAGTTAACTTTAAGTGATGAAAGGTATAAATCCTGAGTCATATCTCCTAAGTTACCAAACTTTCATAAGATGTTTAAGATGATACAACATGCATAGCTTTAGCTTGTAGGTTTTACAGATATACAAAGCTGTTTCTTTCTAGTGTCATCAGAGAAATGAAGATAATTTCTAAAATTTATGTGATTGTGTTAAATTATTTCCCCATGACTTCCAAAACATTCTTCCAGCATTTCGGCCCTTAATATGTCCTCTACTTTTTATAAAAAATACATAATAAGATGGGCAGAACAAAGTAAATCATGAATTAAGCATCCCATTGCTTATTTTGTCACCTGCTAGATTCTATTCCAGCTTTCAGCTATTAATAATTTCCAATGTGTTTTCTAAAAGAAAATCTTCACTTGGAAATTTAACTTCATTTTAAAATAGGTCAACAATGAGCATGTCTGTACTTCTATCATTTTATCAGCTGTTATTTATATATTAGCATTTAAATTGTTGACTCTCTAGTATTCATGAAAAAGAACTTCTAAAGCATTTTGTCTTTTGCGTTATCAAAAACACTAAATGGTAATTGGAAAATTTCTCAGACTTCCATTTTCCTTAAAAGGCTTATAAAAAGAGCATATATGGTTTATAGTGAAATGAATTCTTTGACAATACATAGTGGTTGACTGAATGTTGATTTCTTCCATAAAGTATATATTTTACAAGCTTTCTTTTCAGTATTTTGACAAATAATATTGTTAATTCTTATCACTAGGAAAATACCACATTCTTGCCGGTTTTTCAAAGAAGTAATATTAAATATAAGTACAAAGATGATATAAACATTTGGTAAGAGTTAAAAATTGATACAGTCACCTAGAAATACTCACATTCCCATATGCAGATTCATCTGATTAATCAAGTATTATTTGATTATAATGGTGATGGTGGTGGTGATGAAGATGATGATGATGATGATTCTAATAAAACCCAGCCTACAGTTTTTCTTAATCATAGTAGGAGGTGTGAACCTGAAAGGAACATAGTGGGTTTTCCCAGTACTCATAGCATTATTGCTATATGTTCCATTTCTCTTGGTTCTGTGAAAAAATACCATAAAATGTGGTGAAAATTAAATGAAGAGTCCTACACTTTGTTGTATGAACATCTCTTATCTCTATCTTGTCTTAGAACCTCTTAGCCATTAGGATGGCTGTTTCACTTACTGGTAATAATCTGGTATTTTGAGGTATCAATTGATTAGACGATTTGTAAATTAAGTAGAAAATGCAAGCATGCAAATAATGATTTCTCACTTTTTAAAATTATGCATAATCCATTTCTCATGCGTGCACGAACACAGAGATGTCATATTAATTCAGTTTTGATAGGCAGTACATTTCTAAATATATTGAACAGTAGTACAGTGGTAAAATGAAATTTTAAATGTTTTTGGTATTTCAAGAAATTTCCTGAATCGTAGTTCTCATAGTATGCATCTAGTTGCCGAAATACAATAGAAGTCCCAAGTTAGCTAAGAATTTGGGTTCTTTTATATTTTACATAGAATGAGCATGCTCCTGGCAAATTAATTCAATCACTTCCACCATATGAAAAGCACTGCATTCAATAATCCCTTTAAATGACTTACAGAAGAATTTGAAAGCAAAAAAGAAAAAAAATCACCATTATATAGAAATGTAAAGAGCATGCAACTCATCAGAGTATCTTAATATCACATTGGCTGTGAAAATACGTTGAAATGCACAGAGTGGGGTTATGCATCATAAAACTTGCCTTTGTAAAAATTTACCACCTTCCCACCATAATTAAGCTTTTTAAAAGAACAAAAGAACTCTTAACTCTCCTTTATTCAATTAACACAATGTGGTCCGGGACATAGAGAAATAGATAAAAATTGCATGACACGTTCTCTTTCAAACAGTTTTCATGTGGAAAATACCAGCATGCAAAGTCGTTTCACCTACCTGAAGTGGTTTGTCTCTAAGAAAAATGCAAACAAGGCTGTCAAAATGTTCACTAGCTGCCGGTTCATTCCTGTATCTGTGATGCTTGTGGAAAATATTCCCGAAATGATTCCAGAAAGAAGCTAGGACAAAGTATCTATTTATTGTCCAGACTCAAAATCTGGCAGGAATCTAGTTTCCTTGAAAATCAAAAAGAGATTTGGGCTTGTACAGTTTGCTGAGAAAAAACAAAAAGTGCCAGTACTGGGCATCATGGTCAGGTCAAACGGGGGCTTAGGACCATCAGTTAACCTAGGAAAGACAAAGCCTTAGAACTGATGGATCCCCCAGCTGCTTTTCCTGAATAATAAAAATGCTGCTACCTTAATCGCATCACCATGCAAAGGGGGCTGGTGACAATGCCATGCTGGAAGTCGGGTTGCTGTAGCTTTTGTTTTATGTCCTTTCTATTTAGCAAATCCCTTTTCTCTAGAAAATGTTCTCTTTTTAAAAGAAGTTGTAAACGAGGGAGAAGAAAGGACTCTGCGTGCTGGAGTGGGTAGGAAGAAGAGGGCAAAATTGCTGAAATCCTGTGCTGGAATGAGGGCTACAGAAAGACGGAGACGTGATCTTACCGAGCCTATAAATTTCAGCACTCGGACAGCTCCTAGCTCTGAAGTGCGCATGTTTCCTTTTTCAGTCGCTTGGGGCGGGGGTCTGGGAGAGGCATTCCAGAGGGGACGTTCCTGCTCTTCCAAGGCAAAGAGTGACTGGCCGTTCCGCGCGAAGGGGTGCTGAAGGGGTGCGGTGATGACCAGGGAAGAGCAGAGGTCAGGGTAGATGGAGAGGGTGAAGAAGGCTAGGGTCTGAGCTCCTGGAAATGCGAGTCTGTCAGTGGGTGGGCGGGACGGGAGTTTGAAGCAGAAAAGAGAAGGGAAATAAGGTCTAGGCGTGGGAAAAGAAAATTGGGCGAAGCAGAGAACAGGATCTAGAGTACTGAAATTATAATAGGGGAGTGGGTAGTCTACGTTATCAGTGAAAGCTAGAGGCAAAAGAGGAATCCTGTGCTGAAGAGGAGGGGACATTTCATTGGCATAGAGAAGCCCATATGCAGAGAATGGTTCATGAGGATCGATAATTTAATTTAGAAGCCCTTTATGCCTTCCTCGCCCCTTGAGTGTTTTCGTTTGATTTTAGCTGCCGGTTCCCAAAGGATCTCTCTACTTTTTAACTAGGGAAAGCCCCTTCTCTGAGCTTTCTTCAGAGGCTCAAAATCCTTGGGCATCCTCTTCAAGTCACGGATTTGTAGAGGAGGAAGAATACAATGGGCCGGCAGGGGGCAGTAGCAATCTTTACTTGACCTGGTTAAAGGTTAGAGAGTAGGGCTCGGAGTAAGAGCTGGAGCAAGGAAGGGTGAGACTGCGGGTGGAGTTCATCTGCCCATTCCAGATGTTAATCACCAGGGAGGAGTCAGGTAATAAAGTGTAAATGTTCTCCTAAATTGGCTAAAGAGACAGAAAATAGTGAAAGTTTATGAATCCTGTACAAAAGCATGACAGGTAACCTTGCTATTTCAAATTAAACTTACAAATGTTGTTATTAATAAAAAAGAGGAAGGGTAGATAGTTCAGTGTAAGTAATTATCAGCTCTGGCAAGGGGGAATGAAAAATGCATGTTCTGCCATGACTGGGTGTGTAACCTACTTTTTGTCTGTAAAATGTGCCTTGTTCATCACCTTGGCACTCCACTGCAGATCTTAATTTTAAAACAAAATAAAATGATTAATTTTCAGTCCATAAATGACTAATATGCCCATGGATAAGTTTAAATATTATGGCAGAGTAACGAAGAATTCTATGTTTTTAAAAAGTAGATTCTGAGAAAAAAATGCATGTTCTTTTCACCTTTTAATCTTAACATAAATCACCTGAAGAGCTTGTTGAAATGCAGATTCTGATCTGGTAGGTCTGATGTGGTGCCTGAGATTCTGCATTTCTAACAAGTCCCTAGCTGAGGTCGTTTCTGCTGGTCCACCGATCACACGTCAAGTAGCAATGGTCTGTATGCCCTTTTATCAGAAATTTATCCCACCAAGGCAGTGAGAATATAGGACCTTTCTTTAGATGAAAAGCAGCAGTGCCCAAGCATTCTGCTTACATACAAAATCAATTCTTTGGAAGTGTTCTCTTAACTCCCAAAGCCCAGAAAAAGTGATTCAATTTAAAAGGAAAACAGTACAGTGTAGGGTGAGACATCCCTGGACTGCAGCTTTGAATCTGTTCACTTCCGAATTCATCCACATGGAAACTCTAGACCTGATTTTATCCCTGCAGTCCTGACCCAAAAAATAAAATCAATTCTTGGAAATATATTTCTTCAACTGGTGCTACGGAAAACTCATACAAGATTTTTTTGTGCTCAAGATTCTTTCCAAAAGAGAAAACATATATGTAAAAGTATGTGGAAATGATTTGTCCCAAAATTTTTTGAGGTTGTAATGATGCTTAAAGTAATACAGTCTTTGCAAGTCATTTCTTTCAATAGCAGAGTTTTGTTATTAAACAAGAGTAGGGTGAGTAGGGAAACCTGTGACACACGGAGACTCTGGCTAGCAGCATGGGATCAAAGCACGTATTATTTTAGAGTTGGAAGGAACTTTAGAGAGGATCTAGTGTAACCTCCTCATTTTACTTCTCAGCTCTCCTCAATTTGGATTCCAGCTCCGTCAATCTACGGAAACAGATCTCACTAAGTCTGCCAATGAATTCCTTGGAACTAAGGCCGAAAGATATTTTTGCTGTTGTCATCTAACTTGACATTTACATGGCACTTAACATCATCGAGCTCTTTTCCCTTCTTTTATTTAAATTTATTTTTATTTTATTGTGGAAAGAACACTTAACTTGAAATCTACTCTCTCAACAGACTTTTAAGTGTAAAATACAATGTTGTTAACTATAGGCTCAATATTGTACAGTGCATCTCTAGAACTTACTCATCTCGCATCACTGAAACTATACCCACTGATGAGCAGCTCCTCATTTCCCCCTCTCTTCTGTCCCTAAGAGCCACCATTCTGCTCTCTTGAAGGGCTTTCTTCCTTCGACCCTGTGACACAGTACACTCCTGGCTTGCCTCCTGTTTTGTCTCCTTGGCAGCCATATCCTCCTCTACCTGGCTTGGAAAAGTTGGATTTTCTAAAGTCTGTATTCGAGGTCCTCTTATCTTCTCATACTACACTCTCTTAGACAATACTATACACATCTGTAACTTGCATTTTCCTTTTATGCAGATGACACACAAATATATATTTCTGTCCAGACCTGCACATCCTAAACAATTCCTGTTGAATGTCTCAAAGGCTCCACAAAGTCCACAGGTCAAAACCAAACTTTTAATACTTCCTTCAAATCCTGTTTCTTTTCTGCTGTGCCCGTTTCATTATCTCCAACCAAAAGCCAAGGCATCAACGCTAAGACTCCCTCTCCATCGCCTACCGTATTCAGTTCTCTACGAAGCTCTATTGATTTTCTCTCACATATTTACCAAGTCTGTCCACTTCTCTCCCTCTCAGCCTCCATGACCCTAGTTGAGCTACCCTGATCTCTTGCTCGTACTGCGGCAGTAGTTACCCAACTCCTCTACCTGTGCCAACAGCAGATCCCCCTCCACCTTATGATTACACTGCATCCACAACGACTGTTCAGAAATCAAAATCTGATCACGTCATACCCTCTGAGTAACGTGATGACTTTCCGCTGATCTTTAGGTACAACAAGAAAACTACTTAACATGATCTAAAAGTTCCACGTGGTCTGGCCTATGCCTACATTGTCTTTCATCTCATTTGCTACTCATCTCATTCCTTCTCCTCTATCCATACTGGCCTGTTTTTAGTCCCTCGTGCTTGCCATCTTGCTTAATCCCAGAGAGTGCTCGTGCCTCCCATCTTGTCTTGTTAACATCAGCTTATTTTTCAAATCTCTTCTCAAGTGTTATTTTCTCAAGAAGGACTTTCCTGACCTGCACACCTCTATCTATTACAGGCTCCCTTACTACTCAGCAACTTCGATTCAAAGAGCTTGTCACCATTGCACATATACATGTGTATGATTAATTGCTTAGATAATGAGCTTTGTAATGGACAGGGGCAGCATCTGGTTTTGTCTACCATGGTGTATCCATCCATTCAGTGTTAATGACAGGAATCATAATGGTATTGATGGTGATGAGAATGTAATTTTTTGAATGCACCCAGCAGTGCTGCTTAAAAAACCCAGTATACTTACATATGTATCGTTCTGTCAAGAATTACTTGTTCATCATTTTAAATCTAAAAAAAAAATGACTTGTTAGGGAATTACCAAGTTGAGAACTATGATGATTTGAAAGGAAACCCAGCTCAGTGGCTCAGGACTCTATAGCATGAGATGAAAATACAACTAGGAGACTATTAATCTGATGTCCTTAATCCAGGTACCACCTCTAACACTGATCAGTTATATGACCATGGGCAAGTCATTTAATACCACTGAGCCTCACTGTCATAATATATAAAATACAGATGATGATATTGCTACAAAAAATACGGAATACTCTTGAAAGTCTTATCACATCATAGCTGACTGTGTGTTTTAGGCTGGTAATCTCAGTTCTGAGCCTCTATTGACTGCTACAATTCATGTTTTCACTGTCCCTTGGACAATTCCACTTTCAAAGACAGTAAGTCTCAGAAGCTTGGAAAAGCTCTTATTTGCAATGCAGTAGAATCCTGAAGTTAAATCCACCTAAGCTTCTAATTCACACCTGGTTGAGGCGTGCAGCACCCTCGTTTTGTACTCTTATCAGAAAAATGAGAAGTTTCTGACCCATCCTGTAACATCATAAGGATCAATACAGAATAGTTGGTCTATATGATGCCACATATTAAAGAATTCTAAGTAGATGTAAACAAACAGACATTTCTTATGAACATCAGAATCGTTTGAACATCAGTATCATTTACTGACACTGATAAATCTCTAACATATACATAATGCTTTGTAGTTTTCAAAATACCCATACTATGTAGTAGGCAGAACAATGATTAATCACTATATTTTTTCCAGTGAGGAATTTAAGGCTCATGTAAGTTGGTCAATTCTCCCAAGTCCACATGATTATTAAGTGACAAAGTCACACTTTCTATATTTCCTATCCAGGGAACAGACTTATTTCTCATCATATGTATGATTGATATTTTTCAAGTCACGGAGAAACTACTATATACCCACACTATTTTTAATAACTATGTTTATGAGTCCATTGTAGTAAGTGCCCCTTTGTTGATGGAATTTTGGTCTCCATTAAATTCATACACACAAATGACAAATGGAAACCCCATTGGTTTTTTATAAATTTATTTATTTATTTTTGGCTGCGTTGGGTCTTTGCTGCTGTGCGCGGGCTTTCTCTAGTTGCGATGAGCAGGGCTACTCTTTGTTGTGGCGCCAGGGCTTCTCATTGCGGTGGCTTCTCTTGTTGCAGAACATGGGCTCTAGGCGCATGGGCTTCAGTAGTTGTGGCACGTGGGCTCAGTAGTTGTGGCACGCGGGCTCTAGAGCGCAGACTCAATAGTTATGGATCACGGGCTCTAGGGCACAGGCTCAGTAGTTGTGGCGCACGGGCTTAGGTGCTCCGTGGCATGTGGGATCTTCCCGGACCAGGGCTCGAACCTGTGTCCCCTTCATTGGCAGGCAGATTCTTAACCACTGCGCCACCAGGGAAGCCCCAGGACAGGAATTTTTAAAGG